GGAGCCATCTTGGAGGAGACCTATCAAAGGAGGGGTGCTCCTTCATTAGCGGCGCCTCCCCAGGAGGCCAACATGTGGCCAGAACCTCCGTAAAATCAATGATGTTGGTCTTCTCGCCGATGCCGTACTGGACGCTCCCACTGTTCGCGGAACGCCCCTCCAGGTCCAGAGGGAGGGGGTAGGGGGAGGGGTCAAGCCACCTTCCTAGATAGCAAGCCGTCTAGCTCACTCCCACCCGCCCTCCCAACACATAAGTAATACCCGAGCCTGAGTATGTTCAGCGGTCGTCTGCGGATGGACAGCTCCTGGGAACCAACACCGACCCCATGTGCGCGACGCTGGGGCGAGGTGCGCCACGCGTGCCAGGCGCGCCACGCGCTCCAGGCACCCCTGGGGCCCCAGCGTGCCACGCACGGCTGGTGCGCCAGATGCGCCACGTGCTCCGCGTGCGCCAGGTGTGCCACATTCTGGGGCACGTGCAGGGTGTGTCAGGTGCGTCTGCGCACGTGACAGCACACATCGATAAACGTGTCGGCCCCCTACCATCCTTGTCGAAAACCAATGCCCATCATTGTGTCTGGTGGGCCTGCGCACAGCAGGCCATACGCCACCACCCCCGCCGCCCCTGTCAAAAACCACTTGACAGTGATCGCGGGGGGGCCGCACATGATCCAGATTTAGCCGCGAGGTGTATCGTGCATTGATTTTTGGCCGGGATGATAGCCCTGCGCGCAGCAGGCAATATGCTGACATTCCCGCCACCCGTGTCAAAAACCATACAAAGTGCTCGCGGGTTTCACGACCATGACTCAAGACTTTGTCCCAAAGTGTATGTTGTCTTTTTTTGTTGATAGGGATTGGGGTCGGGGGGAGGCGCATCTGGTTGGCCACGCATGCTCCAAAATATGGAGGCAGAGTGCGTTTGGTATGGTTTTTTGACAGATGGGGGGGGATCATGGTGTCCTCATTGTTCCTGGTTGGCTACCGGTCGCTTGGGAGAGGGGATGTATATTCATAGGGAACAGCGATCAAGTAATCCTCCCCGCCCGCATGCCGTCTCGCTCACTCCCACCCGCGCGCCAGGTGCATCAGGCACCCCTGGGGCCCAAGCGCGCCAGGACGCCTGGTGCGCCAGATGCGCCACGTGATCCACGTGCGCCATGTGTGCCGCATGCTCCAGCCGCGTTAGGTGCGTAGCGTTCGGGGCACGCGGCGCAAAGCGTGCCAAGTGCGCCTGCGCACGTGGCAGTACACATCGGGAAACGTGTCGGCCCCCACCACCTTGTCGAATACCAGTGTACCGGTGCGCAATCGCGGCGGGGTTGCCATCATAGCGTCTGTTCACCTGCACATAGCAGGTAATATGCCAGCACCCTCGCCGTCCCAGTCCAAAAATCAATACAAAATGACCGCAGGGTGACCGCGCATGATCCGGATTTTGCTTCAAAGTGCATGCTGTATTGTTGTTTGAAAGGGATGTTGTCCTTGCACGCAGCATGCAATATGCGGGCACCCACGCCGTCCTGTCAATAAACAATACAAAGTGCCCGCGCCCCCCACGATCATGACACAAGATCTGCCCCAAAGTGGACTTCATTTTGTTTTTTCAACAGGGATGGTGGGGGGTCTCATTGGTCCTGGTTGGCTGCCGGTCGCCTGAGGGAGGGGGTGTTTATTAACAGGGAGCAGTGATCAAGACACCCTCCCCGCCCGCAAGCTGCCTCGCTCACTCTCACCCGCCCTCCCAACACAGAAGTAGCACCCGAGCCTCATCATGTTCAGATGTCGTCTATGGGTAGACAGCTATTGGGAACCAAACCAGACCCCATGTACGCGATGCTTGGGCGAGGTGCGCCACGCATGCCAGGCGCGCCACGCGCGCCAGGCACCCCTGGGGCCCGAGCATGCCTGGAACTCCTGCCACGCCAGATGCACCACGTGATCCCCGTGCGACATGTGTGCCGCATTCTCCAGCCGCTCCAGGTGCGCCACGTTCGGGGCACTCGCCGAGTGTACCAGGTGTGCCCGGACACGTGGTGGAACATGTCGGCCCCCACCATTCTTATCGAAAGCCAATGCGCAATCGCGACGGGGTGGCAATCAAGGTGTTTGGTGGGCCTGCACACAGCAGGCAATATGCCAGCACCGCCGCCGTCTTTTGCAAAAGCCTATGCAAAGTGACCGCGTGGTTGCCGCGCAGGATCCAGCTTGAACAGCGAAGTGCTTGGTGTATTGTTTGTTGGCACGGATGGTGGCCCTGCGCACAGCAGGCATTACGATACCCCCCCCCGCCGCCCCTGCCCAAAAAACAATACAAACTGTTCGCGGGGCCCACGAGCATGACCCAATAAGTTGTCCATCATGTTGACAGGGGTTGTGGGGGGGTGTCATTGGTGCTGGTTGGCTGCTAATCGCCTGGAGGAAGGGGTGTTTGTTAATTGGGAACTGTGATAAGCCCCTCCCCGAAACGGGAAGGCAGGGGTTGGAAGAGGAAGGGACTGGAAATGCCATTGCCAAATTTGGCCATTGCAGGCCCAACCAGTTCACTCAGATGACGTGCTTCAAGTTGGCAGTTGACCTATACGGTGCTTCTTGTGCCTACGTGTAAGTTTGAAGGACGGGGGGGTGAAAACCACACAACAGGAGAGAAGATGAGGAGGAGGAGGAAGAGGAGGAGGAGGAGGGTAGGGATTTCGTTGCCAACGCCTGCAGGTTTACCTGTTATGTCTGTCAGGGCTTCCCTACATTTCCGCACCTTCTTCGCAACGTCTCTTCCCGCTCACCATGACGAGGTGATAAGAGTTCGACTCATTGCTCGCACACGCAGGCTCGTACTACTAGAATGTGTTCGGTCGCCTGTCGACGTGCTCAGACGCTACTCCTCCGCTGGCCAAAGTCCGCGCAGCGTAAAAATGAGGAGAGGAAGGAGAAGGAGGAGGAGGAGGAGGAGGAGGAAGACCCCGAGGACGCCCTCAGAGCGAAGAAGGAACTCCTCTCCCTCCCCGCCCGCCCGTGGACCGACGACGCGCCTGGACGCGCGACCCATTCGGCTCCCGCCTCGAAGCCGACGAGGGCGGGTGCCACGAACGCCACGACGAGGAACGGCGCCGACGAGGAGGTGCGGCGAGCGGCGAGCGGCCTGCACGGCCCAGACCCCTCGCCGACGGCCACGAGGAGCACGGCCGCACGGCCAGCCAGGGCCACCAGGGACGCGGCAGGTCCCCCCAAAAGGGGACAGGCGAGGGCCTGTTTGACCGAGGACGGCTGTCGGAGCCGTTTAGTTCAGCTCGTTGCGGCACCCTCGCCCCCGAGATTCCGCGGGAGTTCGGCGCAGTGCACGCGAGCTGCTCGAAGAGCCTCCGAGGTTGCACGCCATGCGGGCAGGCGAACGGATACGCCCAGCAACTCTTAGTCCGTTCCCACCCGCGCCCGCGAGAACTCAAACTGATCATGGCGACGGAGTCGCCGACGGCCTCGAGGAGGCGAGCGAAAGGGCGGTCTGCAGGGGCGGCGGCGACCACGCCGTGTTCGCCTCCACCACATCCAGGGAAGCCGTCACCCGCAGGGGCCCCGTGGGAGGCGATCCGGCGGCGCTTGACAACTCAGCGTCGGGTGGTCGGTGCTCGTCGCCGTCGCCGCTGTCGGAGGGCATGGCACGCAATGCCGCCTGGAGGGTCGCGCCCATCTTCGTCGTGCGGCATCCGCGGTGGGCAAGGCCGCTGAAGGCCCTGAGCAGCGCTTGCGCCGTTCTCGCCCACCCCGCCTGGGCGTGGCGCGCAACGGTGGTGCAGCAGGTGCGCTGCGGGCGCGTTGCTTCCGCTCACCACGGCGGCGCCCAGCGAGCCGCAGGGGGGCCGCGAGGACGAGAGACAGAGGAGAGGGCGGCGCGGGAAGCGCCCATATAGCGCGTGCTCTCGAGCTGGTTTGAAACAACTTGGGCCGAGCTGGCACGTGGAGGAGCAGAAGGAGGAGGGCGACGCAACCCCTTCCAGAACGCGGTCGTGTCATTCGCGGGCATGCTGACCTCTACGTTCATCCGCGGACACTCTATAAGAGGGAAGCCGTGGCTATCTACTTGATCGGCAAAGTAAGTGTACATTTCTATTGTTGCTGCACTGACCTAGCTTGAGTACAACTCGTGTATAAAGTCGTGTTTGCACTTAGGGTTTCTAAGTTGGTTTCGCTGAGGGGGATGGGTCGATACCCCCGGGTGTTCACCACGATGCGGCCCGTGCTTCATCGTGGGCACCTCGTGGGCGCCCCGCACTTGAGGGTATGCCGAGGGCGTCGCCACGATGACTCCCGTGCCGCCTCGTGGGCGCCCCGCGCTTGGGGGGGTGTAAGCCGAGGTTGCGCCTCGATGCCGCCCGTGCCGCCTGGTGGGCGCCCCGTGCGTTGGGGGGGGGGTATGCCGAGGTTGCGCCACGCTGCCGCCTCGTGGGCACCTCGTGGGCGCCCCGTTCGCTTGGGGGGGGGGGATGCCGAGGTTGCGCCATTGTGCCGCCCATGTCGCATGGTGAGCGCTCCGTACCCTGAGCTTGCGCGACACGGTGTTCACCACATAGCGTACGCCACATAGTTTGCACCACATATCTCACATTGCATGTATTACACAGCATAGCTTACATTTTATAGCGCACACCCGATAGGTGTCACCTTTGGCTACGTAGCACCACTATGCGTGCACGACATAGCGTACACCGCATAGCCTCCACCTCCACAGTGCAATACCGCATTGAGTGGGGATTACGTTGATGTATGCGCACATGCGCCAGGTAGGAGGCGTGAGTCTTAAGGAAAAGTGCGCGCGCGAGAGGGATAGAGAGATGTGAATAGAGAGAGTGAGGGGACTAGAGAGGGAGAAGGAGAGTTCTATAGTTCTGTTAGCCATGCACATAAAAGAGCGATATGGAGAGAGGTATTGAAAGATACTGTTTACCTGGACTTTCTTGAAATGACCTCCTGTGCCATGGCTTGCGGTGAATACATCCGCGAGCGAGGTGATGGTGGGTCTGCCATCGGGGGGCGGATCGCTGGCGCTGGGCGGCCAGGGCTCCTGAGCCTCGCGGCCACCGCCATCGCCGCCGTCGCCGTCGCCATGGTTGTCGCCGTCGTCGTCGTCGTCGCCGTCGATCGGGTTTCGGGGGTCGAGGTTCGAGGGTCGAGGTTTTCGGGCGTTTGGAGCGTTTGGAGGTTCCAGGGTTGTCTCCTGGAGCACTCCCGTCGCCGTTGGCGTCGTCATCGCCGCTGTCGTGTTCGTCGCCGTCGGCGTCATCGCGGATGTCAGCGTCGTCGCGGTGATCTTCGTTGTCGTCGCCGTTGTCGCCGTGGTCATTGACGAGGTTGTGGTCGTCGTTGTCGTCGCATCGACGTGGCTGTGGTCGGCGTTGTCGTCGTCGTTGCCAACGTCGTGGTCGTCGACGCGGAGGTGGTCGTCGTCATCTTCGCAGCGATTATCGTCATCGTTGCCGCCGCCGTCGTTGTCGTCGTGGTGGTCGTCGTTGGAGTCGGACCAGTCGGAGGCAGAGGAGACGGACAGAGGGGTGACGAAGAAGGGGGTGAGGGGAGAGGAGCAGAGGGAAGGAGAATAGAGGAGAAGGGAGGAGGAGAGGGGGCGAGGGCAAAGGAGGATGGGCAGGAGGGAGAGAGGAGGAGAAGGAGGAATGACTAGAGAAGGAGGAAAAGAAAATGGAAGGTGGCTACTAACATGTTTGAACCCAGCGGGGGGGAGAGCGGGGCTTCACTGGGAGGGAGTCGTTGGTTTTTTTCCCCCGCGGGACTTCGCCTCAGGACGGGTGTGAACAGCAACAGCTTCACGCTGAGGACAGGGGGAGTAGGTGAAGGAAGGGTAGTAGCAGTAGTAGCAGTAGTAGCAGTAGAAGCAGCAGTAGTAGTTGCAGTAGTGGTAGAATGAGGGCTGCCAGTAGGAGGATAAAAGGAGAATAAGGAACACAGTAGGAACATAGGGAAGGAGGAACACAATTAGAGGATGAAGGAGCAGGTGGAACATGAGATAAGTAAGACAACGGCCGCGGAGGAGGATAACGATAACACGAAGGCGAACGATAAGGATACGACGAAGATGGAGAAGGATACATGCAAGGAGCAGCAGTAGACAGGACAAGGCCAGCTGCCAATTCTCGAGGCCGCTACGGAGGCCGAATTTTCCGCCGCGCCGCCGCCCGCGCTCGCCTCCGCCCCCCCCCCCCCTCCCCCACCAGGGGGGAGGGCGGGCGAGAACCGCGAGAGCGTACCCAGGGCGGCGCGAATGGCGAAAGCGCTCGCTGTGCTTTTTGGTGTTGTTCGGCGGCGCGCCTAGGGAGAAAGGCAGAGGGGGCGGGGCTCCTCAGAGGGCTTAGAAGACCTTTGACCTGCTGCAGAGCTTTCTGGACATTCGCCGGATGTACAGAGAGCGTCCCACAAGGCTTGAGGGCTTCGCAGAAGACCCGCCGCTTTCTGGAAAGGTTTCCGCCCCTTCCTTCCTTCCTCGGCGCGCCGCCGAGTTGTTTTTCGCGGCGCCTGGCAGTCCATGTCCCGTCCCTGGGCTTGCGGCGGATTGAATTTTGTCAGTCTGGGCTTTGTCCCTGGGTTCTGGCCCCTGGGTGCTGTTTTCGGCTCCCGGGACCATTAAGAATGTGGGCACATATGACCGAGAGTGAACGGGATACGATGTGTTTTCTTGGCTTTCTATTTCAATCATTCACTCACTCGTGATGTGTCCCTCTCGTTCTCTCTCTCTCTCTCTCTCTTTCTCCCTCTCTCGCTCTCCCTCTCTGTCTTTCTCTACCTCTCTCTCTCTCGTTCGCTTTCTGTCGCTTCCTGTCTCTGTTTTGTTGTTCTCTCGCTCTCTCTCTCTCTCTCTCGCTCTCTCGCTGTATCCTTCCATATATCGTTCTGTCATGTGTCCCCCTGTCTCGCTCTCTCTCGTTTTCTCTCCTCTCTCGGTGGCACGCGGCTTGAGGGGGTAATTGGAGCAGGTTGAATTGTCATCAAATGTCTCCTGGCTCCCATACCCAATACCTGAGAGTGCAGAGAGACTTCCCCAGAAATCTTAGAGCCAACGTCCTTGTATTAGGACGGATGCAGCAGGGCAGGCTGTTCAGGTGGTCGAAGTGGTCAACCCACATGACACGCGGATTCAAAGCTAGTCCAACAAGGGGCGGGCCCGACCAGCACGGGGGAGGTGGGGAGGGGGGCTGCCCACCGTCCGCTGGTTCGCCCTTTCTCGGCCGTCCGTGCCGGCTGCAGGGAGGGGGTCTGCCCGCTGAGCCTCCCAGAGGCTCCGAGGGAGGTCCCCTCGCCGACCCTCCCCCCCCTTTGGCCCGCCCGCTCGCTCTGCCCTGCCCGCCTGGCCTGCCGCCCGCACGGCCAAGATGCTGACAGAAGGATCACTGGGCTCGGGAGGAGTTCTGGTCGGCGGGCCGCCCCTCGCATCTGGATCGCCGTGGCCGGAGTCAGTCGCCGTTCCTCATGCAGCGCTCTCTCTAATCACGATGACTGGGCGTTCGCTGGTTCTCGGGTCATAGCTCAGGTCCCCTGTCCCCGTTTGGCCCCTGGGGGGGTCTCTCTTCGCTCCCTCTCGCTCTCCCTCTATGTCCTCACTGTCGTGTAGCCGCTTAGGCTTAGGGTGCGAGTCCCCGGAGACTCATACGGCGTACTGAAAGAGAGCTCCTCCCGTCCCTCTCATAGCCCTCGTGTCGCGATAGGCCCCCGACCCTGTGACAGTGGTTAGCGGAGCTGGTTCGTGGACCGCGTGGCGTTCGACGAGGACGGGAGGAGCCGCCAGGCGACCGACTGAGGAGAAGGAGGCCCCACCGCCCACAGACCGACACTGCACCGGCCCATGCCGGACGCGGAGATCCAGACAGACGACCAGGAAGACGCAGAGCCAGCAGCCTGGCCCGACGCGGACGACAACTGGTCGGAGACCGGCTGGAGCGAGCAGGGCTGGCGCTGGGGCTGGGGCTCTGGCGGCCGAGGTGCTCGCGACGAGTGGTGGCGAGGTCGAGATGACGGCGCGTGGCGAGACTCCGACTGGCATTCTGCAGAAAGTTGGGAGGTAGTAGCTCCCCGCTCGCGCGACTTCGGCCCCCCGCCAACCTGGCTGGGCATGGAGCAGCTCGAGCTATATCGCCTGAACGTGACGGCCTGGTCAAGACGCACCGGACACCTTCCGGAGTCACAGGCTCCTCGGCTGGTGGAATCGCTACCGTTAGAGCTGCAGTGGAAGTTCAAGCCGCTGGCCTCCTCGCTGATGCAGCCCGACGGAGTACAGAAGGCGCTCGAGCACTTGTCGATCCTGAACGGCGAACGCCCTGGCGACAGGGAACGCCTGTCCCACTCGCATGCGCTCTTTGACTACATGATCAAGCGAGGGGAATCTCTCACCGACTACGTGCTGCGCCGTGACCAGCAGCTATCAGATGCCGAAGTTCACGGACTTCCTTTACCAGATAAAGTGAAAGCTAGATACCTTGAGGAAGGAGCCAACCTCAGTGCGCAGAACAAGGTGAACCTGCGCACGTTGGCCCAGGGCAAGAAGGACGCGGCCTCGATCCGTGCGGCGCTGCTGCAGATGGACGTGGCCGAGCAGAGAGTGCTACCCGCATCGCAGTCGCTGCCGGTGGTGAAGGCCTTCGTGCAGGAGTACGTTCCCGACCCGCCCGAGCCGTACGAGGATGACGACGACGACGAGATCGAGCTGCCGGAGGAGGAGGCCGAGGCGTTTCTCACGGCGATCGAGGAGCAGCAGCTTGATGAGGAGGAGGCCATACAAGTTTTCGCCGCAGTGGTCGAAGAGAAGTTCGGCAAAGAAAAGCGACGCTCGTGGACCGAGTCTAGGAAGCTGAAGGCCGCCAAGAAGACCGATCGAGACTTCTTCTCGAAGCGCAAGGCGGCCCGTCCTGGATTCAAGCGTGTAGGCGAACGTGACATCCGTCGACGGACGAGGTGTGCGAATTGTGGACAGCGAGGGCACTGGGCTAGTGACTGCAAGAATCCCTACGTTTCGAAGGCCGACCGCCTGGCGAAGGAGAAGGACGGCAAGTTCTCGGCGTTCACGCTCTTCACCAACTCCGACAGCGACGCCTACTCGTACATGGACTGGGGCAGCAAGGTGAGCGAGCTGCTGAAGGCATGCGTGACCGACGCCTCGAGCTTCGTGTCGATCAAGAGCCTCGGCACCCACGCCCTGGTGGACACGGCGGCGGCCCAGGCGCTGATCGGGAAGAGGGAGGCCAAGATCCTCGACGAGGCGCTGCAGGAGGTCGGCTACTGCATCCACTACGACTGGACGCCGGTGACGGGCATCAGCGCCTCCGGGATCGGGGGGAAGACGGTGCCCGTCGGCCGGGCGTGGGTCCCGGTGACGCTCGGCGGGAACGGGGTCGTGGAGTTTCTCATCCTGGAGCAGAACTGTCCCCCTCTCTTGCCGGCCAAGCTGCTCGCCGGCCTCGAGGGCGTGATCGATCTCGCGGGCAACGTGCTGGCGGTGAGCGACGGCGTGCTGCGCCGTCGCGTGAGGGTGCCCCTGACGACGCATCCGTCCGGCCACCGCTCGGTCGACCTGGTGCAGCGCCCGGCCGCCTCGTTCAAGGTATCGCCCGAGATCCAGGAGCACATGCCTGGGGCCCGCTTCCTGAAGGACCGCCGCTCGGCCGCCGCTTTTGTTGCCTGCCTGTGCTGCGCTCGTGCCTGCAGTTCCCCCTCCTCCTCGCCTCCTGTCGAGTCCTTGGGGGGTTCTCTCGGGGGCCAAGGGGGATCAGACAGCGGGCCCAACCGTAGTGATTCGGTTCAGCTAGCGCGAACGAGCCTCAGAGAGAGCGAGGTCGGAGCTGCCGCCAGCCGAGATGAAGGCAGCCTCGAGCCGCGGCGGACGCACGCTGGCGGCGAAGTCGCCAGCGCCGAGGCGCGTGAAGAAGGAGCCGGCCCTCAAGAGGGTCGCGTTCGACCTCGGAGGGATGCGCGAGGCTTCGAAGGAGATGCTCTGGTCGGGCGCCCCGCCAGAGTACGACACGCTGATGGGCACGTCGGAGGGCTGGGAGGAGCTGTCCATGCTGGACCCGGCGCTGGAGGCGACGCTCGAGCTCGAGGCGATGACGGAGGAGGAGGAGCAGAACTTCTACGCGGGCCGTCAGTTGCTCCCGGCGAAGGTGCATCACTGGCGCAGGCTGGTCATCCGCATCTTCTGGCACATGACGACGTTCACGCACACGATGCTGGTGGCCTTCAAGATGCCGAACCTCCTCAACCCGTCCGAGAAGGTCGACCCGGACGACTGCCCCCACCCGCTCCACGCCCGCTGGGACTCCGAGAACCAGCACGGGACCTTCGGCAAGTGCATGACGCGCGGCGATCGGGTGTGGTATCAGCCTTTCTCGGAGGAGGAGAAGCTTCTCAGGGCCCAGCGCCGGCACGAGAACGAGAGGGCCAAGCTCGAGAGGAAGAAGACCAGGGAGGCCATCAAGGTGATGAAAGCTCAGTCGAAGCAGGAGGTGGCCCTCTTCGACCAAGGCGACCCGTGGCAGCATCCGAAGCCGCAGCCGCCGGCCCCGGCTGCTCGCGCGGCGGCGGCCTCTCAGTCTCTCCCGAAGGCGAGCTTCGATCGCCCGATGCTGATGGTCAAGGCGGAAGAAGGGTATGTCCCCGTGAAGCCACCGCCGCCAGCCAAGGCAGACCCTCGCACCGGGAGGGTTCCAGAGCCGAGGCCCGAGGCAGGCAAGACGGCGGCGCCGACGCGCCCGATGACGGTGCTCGAGATGCAGCAAGCGCTGGCGGACATGAACACCGTGATCGAATCCCAGCGCATGCAGAACGAGAGGACGTTCACCAGCATCCACACCATGGTCCAGGAGCAGGGCGACCGCATGGAGACGGCCCTCGTCCAGATGGCGTCGCGCCCGGCGATGTCGGAGCAGGACATGCAGAGGGTAGTCCAGATGTTGACGGCGGCGCTCGGAGCGGGCGGCAGCCAGGACTAGGATCGCTTCGTCGAGTATGCGACCTAGGAATCGAGGAGGATCCGAAGCGGATCCAGTTAAGGAAGCTAGGAGCCAGCTCGACGTCTCCGAGGGGCCTGTTCGTCAAGGATCTTGGGGTAGTTTTGAACCGATCCAGGGGGAAAGAATATGTTCGAAAAACTTCCAGGAGAATCCTCGGGCTCTGGGATGAAGAAAACGACAGGCTCCTTTCGGGCCCGGAGCTTTGCCGGCGCGAGGGGTGGGTCCCGGGGGCTCTTCCCTATAAGGAGCGCAGAGAATTTTTCACTGCGCTCGCGATCGGGGCGAGCGGTGGCCAGCCCCCCTCTTGTTTACTCCCCTCGAATCCCCGATGGATTGACATTCAGGGCCCTCGCGGGGTCCCTATCTTCTCAGGACTCTGGGCCGCCTCAGGCTCGCGTGAGATTTCGGATGCAGTAAGTGCCTCTTCGCCCGACGAGCTGCAGGTCACCTTCTGGTGCGAAAAGAGGGGAGGCAGGAGGGAAGGTAAAGAGGTGCAGGTGGTGGAGGAGGACCAGTTCGCTGCGGCGGCCCTAGACGGCCTAATCGAGATCGCTCCCGCGCCCCCGTCCGCCCCCCGGAAGGCACGCGACGCTACCGCGCGCGCCCTAGACGGTCTCGGCCTCAGGAGGGGCCGCCGGGCCCGTCGTAAGATTGCTAAGGAAAA